TGTGATAGTATTAGTCTTCAATTTTTTATTAAAAACTTAACGTTCAAAAATGTTGACCTGCTGATTCTTGGAGGTGACAGCGAGTGGTACAGTCGCAAATTTTAAAACATAGTCCTATATACAGAGTGAGATGAAAAAACTGCTGTCATTTCTAAGCTACTGGTCCGACATCTGTTAATATTATTCCTCTGTCAGTTCATTACATTGTTTACAAGCGTACAAAGGCATTTTGGTGAGAATCTTCCAGAAAAAAAGTTATTCGTGATAGAATTCAAGCGTGATAGTGTGATTTCTTTATATTTGACTGGAAAACCACAAGTGGCTAAACCCGCGTCGCAGTGGCCGATAAATGGTTCGTGAGCTGAACATATCTCAATATTCCATTTGGCAAACATTGAAAAATGAGCTCGGGGTAAAGCCATTGAAATTTCTAAAAGTGGTAAAACTTACACCGCATCAGAAAGAAAATAGACTCAAAGTGGTGAATAGACGAAAGTGGTGAAGTGCCGAATTTGGTTTTCTCTGATGGGAAAACATTCTTTTTCCAGCAGTTTGTAAACAAATAAAATGATCTTGTGGGCCGCCATAACAGCCGATGGTCGCTCTCGGCTCGTACTAATCGACTGTGGCATCAGATTAAATGCTGAATATTATCGCGAAAATATTTTGGAGGGTGTATTAAAGCCTTGGGCACGCAAACATTTATGCCGCAGACCTTGGACGTTTCCACAGGACTCAGCACCATCGCACTCAGCACGCGCCACCCAAGAATGGTTACAAAATGAGGTTCCTCGCTTTATTTCCAGCGCACAATGGCCACCAATATCTTCGGATACCAATCCGTTGGACTATTGTGTCTGGAGTATGTTGGAAAGCAAATTTGGCACTAAACAAGTAAGCAAAGGCTACAGTCGAGCGGGGCCGACCGTTGAATACCCTACAACACTATAATAAACGATACAGTTTATATAGGCGAGATACTCGAAAGAATTCCACAAGATATTGTGACAAATAATAAAAGAAAACCATCAGGTTTCGTTCTCTAATTTTCGAATAATAGCAACTTAAACTAATTTGCTCATTTCCAATCTATTGGTAGATGTTGCACGTAAATGGTCTTCCTAGATCTGGAACCAATATTTCACCAAGACCTAGATTCTCTCAGAAGTGGCAAAAGCTTAACATTTATTATTGGTTTTTGACTGAAACGCATCTATATGAGATACAGACATTTGACTATATTCTTCAACGAAATCAGCGTTAACGAAATAGTCAGAAGTGCGTCTTTCCTGTATTTGTGAATTCTCCAAAAAGTCAATGGAATGGACATTTTCGTATTTTGTCTACAAAAGTTGGCAAACTATTTCACACATTGAATATTTTTGGATGGCCATCCAAAACTGCTTGGCTTTTGTAATGTCCGGTAACCCCCATTCAAATGTGCGTGAGAATCGGGCGATAATTACGACCTGCAGACAATTTTGCAGTTTTTTGGTCCATTTCAACCCCTAAATATATGGCGATCATCTCCAAAATGAGTAGGCTTCTATTCTGACCCTCATCTTATCTCCATGCAAAATCTCGTAAGGATCGGGCCATAAATGCGATCTGTATATGATATCCTGATATCCTAACTACTTAGTTTTGTTAGCTGTAGAAATATTACCAAATGTTTAATTCAAAATGAAAATATGCCAAAAATATGAGAAAATTTTACAAAATCAATATTTTCATCTTTAGAGAGGTATTTTTATGAGATTTTTTTAGACGTTTTTTCTTTCCTGCCAAGAGGCCATTCTGAATTAATGAGAACTGTGGAAATCAGTTCAGCCGTTCTCGACATATAAGAGATTTTTCAAGCATATCTTCTTTGATAAATGTATATATCGCACATATTTTGCTATAAATCCGTTTTGTTGGATGTTAACATCAATGTAAAGATCAGAAGTAACCTTGTCATGGCTTTGTGATTTCGCCGGGATTTAAAATATTCGCGGTTTAATGAAAAATTCTGAATTTTTTCAACACAAAAGATATGGTCTATTTTACCCGCCAAATATTATCCGATGACCACCCAAATTGGTAGGCTTCTTCCCCGCCCTATACTCTAGCTACATGCGAAATTCCGCGTCGATTGGTCTATAATTGCGACCTGTACAGCTACTGCAAAATCCGACATTTTTTCAGTATTTGGTCCATTTCAACCCCTAAACATTTGGCGATCATCTCCAAAAGAAATAGGGTTCTATTCTGACCCCAGACCCACCTCCATTCTGAATTTCGTGAAGATCGGGCCATAATTGCAACCTGTAGAGTGATTACAAATTAACATGGACAGACGGACAGACGGACAGACGGACGGACGGACATACATAGCTAGATCGACTCAGGTCGGCGAGCTAGGAAGATCCATATATACTTTCCTATGTGGGAAACCAATATTTCGAGGTGTTACATAATTTTTGGGCCAATCAAACTTATAATACCCCCAACACATAGTGTTGTAGGGTATAAAAATACCAATGTGTCGATCACCTCAAGCAAGCGCTTCGCCGGGAAGGGCAAAAATACCGCGGAGCAGCATTCGGGCAGCGTGTGATGGTTTCATTATCCGTTTGGACGCCATAATTCGAGCCAAAGGTGACCAAATTGAACCAATCTAAACTTATTCCAAAATGTGATGCTATTCAAGACATTTTTTGCTTTCATTCAATAAAATTTAAAAAAATGTAAAAATTATGGCGTTTGACTTTGTTCCCGTTTTTTATCTCACCCTGTATTGGTATGCTATATTCTTAATTTATTTTGGAAATTTGTGTTCTCAGTAGAAGATAAACTTCAGTCCAAATTACTCAAATGATTTGCATTATTTTATTGATTTATTGTATCGGCCATTGAATTATTCAAAATGGCTTCCAATATGGTTGCCAAGTAAATTGTTTATATTTCCCACAAAATAATCTATTGATTTTGTGAGCAAAATTAGGGGTGGAAATCACCCTTAAAATTATTTGCGGAATGTTGGCATTAAATACATCAAAAATATAAAAAGAGATATATTTATAAGAAATCGAATTCCAATTCTCTAAATTTACAAAAATATGCCACTAAAAAAATTTCATCTTATTTGGCCGCACCAAACCCTAAAAAAAAAAAAAAAAAGTCTTGATGATCGCCATGGATTTGAATTCATCACTTTTATCATCATCGTTAACATTCACACGAACGATTTATTTCTAGGTAGCTATGTTCTTCAAAGAGGTGCGGTCTGCTAGACATTGATATTGTACCTAATTCATTTCATTCCATTTGGCTCAGTTGGAATTTTGTGTGAAGGCGTTATATTTTACCTTTTGATATCTATCAAAGGCAAGGAATCTTTAGTGAATAAAAAACAACAACAAAAAACTAAAAAAAAAAACGGAGGAGCAAACATGGACACCAGAACGACAATGAGGTGGGAATGATATACACATGCACACAAAAACTCAAATCTAAACCAAACGCAGAACTAAAGCAAACGCTGGTGCTGATGATGATAATGATGCGTGTCTGGAAATTCAAATTCTAAAAAATGAAATTAAAAAAATCTTGATTTTTGTTGTTGCAAGACGTTTTTTTCACTTTAAGGGCAATGAGCATTCACCGGTGTGACTGCCTTGTTCACTATTGCCGGTATTGTGTCTGTTTTTGTAGTTGTTTTTGTTGCCTTTGTAGCTGCATGTTAGGCCATCATACGTTCAATGACTTGAGTTAGCTTCTAGCCAGCTAGTTGATATTATTAGTTGGCATGGTTATTGTTGTTGTGGTTGTTTTTCTTTTTTGGTCGAGTGGTTTATATACAAATTCGATTTTTTTTTTTCATTAACAATATTTGTCGTTATGCTTTGTTGTTGTTCTTTTTCTTTCTCTATTTATATTAATATCATAAATAGAAAATAAACAAAAAAGAAACCTACGACAATATTTTTGAACTTCATGTGAGCCATATTTTTGAAAGACAAAGGTAAAATATAAAGGGAAAATAAATCTTGGTGGGGTATTATTCTTATTCCCATTCTTTTATTTTTAAAATGTCATTAGGCAAATCAGAATGTTTAATAAATTAGTAGATCCATGGGGTTTCGATAACTCGCGGGACAATGGTGTACAGAAAACTATACAAAAAATAATAATTTTTGAGAAGACAAACATTTTCAAAGTTCGAAATAAAACCTCTTTTTGTAGGCATTAATAATTTAGATCAGAAAAATCTGAATTATAGTAAACTATTATAGCCAAAAAAAAAAAAAATGTTATTACTATTTTTATTTTTTCCAGATATTTCATTGAAAATAAAATGGCCCAGACTAGTCTTTTCGCTGAGGATATTAATATCGTCGATTTCAAGGCTATACGCCATTAAAATTGTTATTAGAATAACGTTCATTTTGTAATTTTTGCACAAAGAAATTTGGTTACACTTTGATGTAAAACCCTCTACCCCAACATAATATTTATACAATTCTGTTGCGATATGTCTTTTCTTCTAGCTTATCGCTTGTATATCTTGTGCCAAATATCTAATCAAATGTTATTTATTGTGTCAACTGTGCCAAACACACTTCAACTGTTAATCACTCGGTCAAATTTTTCGTATTGGTATTTTACACGGTTATTCGGAAAAATAAATGATCAATACTTAATCCTTTTATCAACCGGTTATCGATTACTTTTTTCTGAGGCCAACCTTTCATCGAAATTTTCGTAATTTGCTTTCTTTGAACGTTATTTTATGTCCCTTGACACCCTTTTTTTAATTATCCACAACTTGCATTCATTTATTAACTGATTACTGGTTACTTTACTTATTTATTACCCTGCACAGCCATAAACTACCACATAATTGCAGTTCTTCCGTGTTTAATTTTATTACAATTGATTAAACTTTAACGATTTTTAATGTTAATTTGTTTTTGATACACTTAGTCATACGTTTTCAAAATAAATCACAAACTCACCTGTTAAAGTCATCCATGGATATCGGGGTAAATCGGCAATACCTTGACCAGCTCCACCAGTGGGTACAACACCCGATGACGGTTGTGTACATGGATTGCCCAGCGAATCAACACCAATGGCACCGGCGGAGGCAGCTGATACTGCTGAAGCAGCAGCTGCCTGCTGATAGAATTGTGCAAAACTGGCTGACGCAGAGCCAGGTACGCTCATTGATTGATAGCTGTTCATAACTGAGTCTGAGTACCTGCTGAGAAGAAATGGTGAAAAATGAAAACAAAGAAAAAGAAACGAAAGAAATTAGAATTGTTGTCAAAACAAGATGTAAATAACCTTGACTTTTGTGCAAAAAATTCAAGGACAAAAGGATATGACATGCTAATCCTGTACTAAATGAGGCTTAGCCTATAATCCACCCACAACAACCCAAACAACGGCTAATATGCAAATTGTGTACTTAGAATAACAAATAGGCGTGCAAATTTATTTTGCCAATGCTATTTTTCAACAGATTTGTGGCCTACTTATCGTTAAGTTCTGGTCAATTTAACTACCAATTCAAATTTATGAATAGTAAAATAAATCACCAAATGACATTGGGTGGGTGAGCACATGCCATTTGCTATCGAAACAAAAACCCAAGTCCTTGTAATATCCTGTTGGTATTAGCTTTGTAATACTCGGCATGTGTGCTCTAATTTTTATGACATCCCAAATGCATTAATGTTAACAGTATTGGTCATTTGTTTTAACACTAAAGCAAGTTAGAGTATTGAATGGCCGTAAAGCATTAACAGGGCTCAAGAAATGACCTTTGTGGTTATGTTGTATAATCTCTTGGGATAATCTGTTAATTAGAGCAGATTGAGCTGCGGCGGATTGTGGTTTCTATGCCAATTAAATGAGTATCTTGAGAGAGGTGGAAGAAGGATATGTAAAATTTTGAGACCTTGGAAAATGCAGGAGGGATTACAAATCCAATCTTAAAATGTATTATCCTCCGACATGAATGGTAGATTGCTTTGTGTGGATTGTGGTTTTCACACCAATAATTTGGCGTGTGACAAGGAAGTATTTGTGAGAGATTTATTTAAATAACAAATCAATAAATCTAATTATGACTATTTTTCTAAATACTATCTCTCATCAGATTAAAATTATATCATTTCACAAGGATTAGGATTTTCATACCTATAATGTTAAGATTTTTGTGAAAATTGACTCTGAAGATAAGAGGAATAAACAGGTTACTTATTATTATTATTATTATTATTATTATTATTATTATTATTATTATTATTATTATTATTATTATTAATGTTTTTCTATATTTGACCTTTCGTATTTGTTCCATTTAATATCCTATATGAAAAAGAAAATAAGACCAAAATCGTTCATTAAACTTTTTCACTTGAAATCCGAATAAAAACTCCGTCTGAATAACTTGGACTTTTTGACCCAACTGACTGCTTCGGCGAAACAGAATATTTCCTCAGTTGGTAGGAAAGCTCTATATATTCCAAGTAATATTTTCGTTGGGGAATTTTAACACATAATTCCAAATTTCGGTTGAAAATATTGATATGCCCAACAAATTAAACACTTAGCTCCGAAATGCTTCGACTTCGAGCGAGAATCACTCTCTATTCGAATTCTATCGGGAGTACCCCGGCGAATAAAAGACAAGAAGTTGTGTATACTCTATTTATCTATGGAAATCGAATGGGAGCGAATATGCTTCGCTCGTTCTCGTGTGCTCGAAATCGAGCAGATTCTACTCCGGCCTAGTACTCTTTTAGGACTTGTTTTACTGTTTTTCTTAATTCGGATATATGTGCGCAGCCGTAAACAAGTAGATCTGAGCTTCGATTACACATCAACAGAATGCCACATAGCAAAAAATCATTACAAAATAATGAGTTTCTTAAAAGATTTTTAACTGTTGTAACTACTTTCAAATTCGCTTACAAACTCAATATTTTCAATATTACAAACAATATTTACAATATTTTCAGAGGACCGTTTCAAATGTTCAAATCATAACCGATTATTCTTCAACCAAGGTAATTGGAGTACATTACATTGTAGTGAGTTATGCAGTTCATGTCGTGGGATTTTATTCTTGGAATATTCGAACCTTTTTTGCAACGATATTATCTATCCTTTTGAGTGTTTCAAAATTATTGTAAATGTACCCCCAAAAATTAAGTACCAAGAAATGTATGCCTACATCCGGATCTGCAGATAAGGAGGACTTTCAATTCTCCAAAATCAATAAAAATTTAATTTTATAATTCTCCATTAAAAAAATTTGAACTCTATATACTAACCCCCATCCCCCACTAAATTCCCCATATAATATTATCTTCATAAGACTTACCTGCATGTTTTATCCTCGAGACCTGTGAAACCCGGCATGCCGGAGAGGCCGCCATGTGAACTGGGATGATTCGAGACGTAGGGATACATTTTGCTTGTCGGTATGGCAAACGATGAAGAAGCAGCAGCGGCGGCGGCAGCTGCTGCAGCGGCCACTGAACTTGCGGCACTAACGACCTGAGCCGATGACGAGGGCGATGAATCGTTTAAGCTGCGATGCAGCGATGATGATGCCGACGGCGAAGGTGAACAACTGCTATCACCGGTATGCGAATTATGTACGGAGGGTGGTGTTAACAACAACTGCTGTTGTTGCTGCTGGTGTTGTTGTTGGTGGTGTTGCAACGACGAGGAGGAACTGCTACCGTTGCTCTGTTGATGTTGCTGCTGCTGTTGATGTTGTGTGGAAGCTGCAACAGCGGCTGCTAATTTATTAATGTGCAATTGTTGTTGTTGCTGTTGCAATTGCAATGCTGCTGTCAGCGAATACTGATGATGTTGTCCACTGGCAAAATGTGACGTTTGATGCACGGACGAGTGTTGACCCAGGGAACTGCCAAATGGCGTCGAAGAGCTGGGCGATGAAGATGACACAGGTGAATTGGACGATTGATTCAAATGCCCGGACGTGTTGGGTGATAGCAAAGATGAAGAAACGTTGTTCGTATGGCCTCCTGTTAAATTATTCGAAATGCTGTTAATGCTGTTGTTACTTTGGTTGTTGCTATTGCTATTTGGATTGTTGCTGCTGTTGTTGGTGTTGGACGTTGACGAGGTGGCAGCGGCAACGGCTAGGGCGGCGGCAACAGCTGCTGATGATGAATTTTGTGATGTTGTAGTTAAATGTGAACTTATAAATGGTTGAAACTGTGGATACTTTGGTAGCATACTATCGAAAACAAATTTTGACATTGCACATAGTTTTTATGAGGGGACGACTATTGTAGTAATTTGGTTTGATTTGGGGATTTATAGTTTTTTTTTTTTTTTTGGTGAAGAGTTAGTTGTTGTGTTATGGATGAGATGAGAGATATTTAGAATAGAACTGTATATAAATATGACTGTGGTTTTGTTTATTTTTAATGTATTATTTTTGAATATTGTTGAGAGGTTAAATCAGAGTTCAAATATTAAAGTTCATATTGTAGACGGTTATGGTTTCTATGTACTTTGATTGAAATATTTAACAAATCATGTTGGTAATGTAGAGAGTATTTTATTTGTAAATCAAAATCAAGCAAATATATATTTCATTTGAATGGAGATTTTAAATTTTTTGAGAACAACGAAACGAACGAATATTAAATTTATTTTAAAGATGGATAATTATCTAGGCTCAATAAGTTAGAATTAAATGGAGTGCTTTCATTGAGAGTTTAATTCGTGCCCTATGAAAATATCAAATCACAAAATTTATAAAAAAAGAAAATATGTGCATATTTTCATAGATCGAAAATTCATCCCTGGTAGAAATAGATAAAAAAATTTTCGGGACTCAGAAAAGAAAAAAATATAAAATGTTTGTTTTTTTTAACTTAGAACAAAGTAAATAGAAATTTTCCTAGCAAAGGCAAAAATATTTTTACATCCCTTCCGGTTTATAAATTTGTTTTTTATAAATGTTGAATTTAATATTAGTCATTTCTCATATATTAAACAAATATATAAACCAAGACAAGTAAGGTACTATTCCCGGCGATATACACATTTTGTTCAATTTCTTCTAGAGTAGAAATATAGTTATTTGTAATTAGTTAAAAATAAACCCTAGATAGTTTTGCTTTTGCGTATTCATCTCCATTTAAATGTATTTGCTTAATTTTGTTCTACAAATAAATACTCTCTTAATGTTTTTAACTACTGCCCAAAAGTAAACCACATTTCAAATAAAATATTAATCAAATAATTTATATAAATGGATAATAAAATGATAATAAAAATACATAATTCTTTAATAGTTCATAATTTTGTAATTAAAATTAATTAAATAAAAATATGTGACTGAAATTAACAAAAACCTAAAGAAATTGACAAGCTATAGAAAATATTATAAAATGCTGTAGGCCAATTTCATGATATATATTAGTTGATATAAAAGCCAGTCTAATTACAAGGATTGAGAAAAGATTTATTGATTTTTTTTAAGAAAAGTTTTTAAAATTATCTTTTAAGAATAATATATTTAACTGAACAAAAAATACGAAATTGACCTGATAGCATAGTGTCGTTAACAATAAAAATATAACAATTAACAATTGTTTCATATGCTACATTTAAGTGTATAATTCGTGAAAACCGAATAAAATAAGAAAATCATTATAGCATCTCAAAATAGGTGTATTACTGAAAATTGTTGGAGAAACATGTTAAGGTGAAAAGTCAGTTATTTCATCATCATTTCATTGAAATTTGCTTTAAATTAGAAATATCTATAAAATATTGTCACTTTATGGTTTTGAGATGAAAGTTGCATCCAAGAAAATTCTCAAAGCTCTTTCTTCTCTTCAAATTTTGAAAATACATTTATAAAAATGAAACAAATTTTGACATCATCTCAAAAATATTCTTCTTCTTTCTTCATAGCAGATAAATGAAGTGTGGAATACTTCCCAATTAGTAATGGGGTCTAAGTTATATACTTAGTAAAGAATATAATTGACTATATAATTTTTGAAAAAAAACCTGTTTAGAAAAGTTCTTAATACAAAATCTTATGCGTGCCGAAAAGTGTTCAATGTAACATTTGTTGAGAGAGAAATTAGTAATTTTCATAATAAAATATTAAATATTGATAGGTGAAACTTCGACTGTGGGATCTTTTAGTCAAAATGTCGTTGGAGTCATGCTTAAGTGTTACATACACCATTACTATTATTTTGAAAATTAGATATAAAATAGTTATGCTGCATTTTAAAAACCTGAACATTTTTTAATTTAGAAATGTCATGAATTTCATGGAGTGAAATACATTTGTTCTTTTCAATATACAATTTTTCATAATTGTGTCAAATCGTGGATATAAAACAAATTTGAGAAAAATGATTTCTAAAATATTAAGTACAAGTGTTTTTTTTATTGCAGGAAAACTTATGTCAAATTCTCCTGGAGTATTTCGTATATTACTCGTAACAATTAAGGGGGCATATATGAATAAATTTTTAAGTCAGTTCCAAGCCATTCGAGATGGAAACTTTGAAATACGGTTTCTCTAAAACAGGCAAATGGCGTATGGAACACTTACGCATGACACCAACGAAATTGCGATATCTTACTTGGAAGTAAAAAAACATTTAGTTCATTTATATGGTTAGAAATAAGAATTTAAATAAGGCAAATTTTATTGGCTTCTATTATTTACATAAATAATTGAAAGTTTGAATTTCTTAATGAAATTGAAGGCATATATAAAGAAGAAGAAGCTACAAATTTTGTACAATTCATTCTAGGTATTCCCAGTGAATTTTAATTTTTAATGTCAATAACCTTATCAGCCGATAAATTACTTCTGAGCTAAATAAAATTGAACTAGAACTTTTTTTCGAAAATAATATGACAGGGATTGCTATTTTTTTGTTCAAAATAAAAGTTTTTAGTTCTGTCACGCCTATGGAGAATAATGATTTATTCTTTGCGAAAATATGTTGTGTCATTTTTTGGAATAAAAATTTAAGCTGGGTTCTATCAAGATCTTTTCAAACTTTGTATTATTAATTCTGACATGAAAAAGTTTCAATATTTTTGTAATATATATATTTAAAATATAGATTTTCCCTGTGGATACGTGTTTTTCTATCTTCGAATTTGGGTTGTCAAATGCTTGTGATTGAATATGATTTTCGAATTGTAGTTAGATTCTTCATATGATATTAAACTAATTTCTAAATAAAGTGTTACAGTAACTCGTCTCCTAAAGATATCGGCAAATATTTTTATTCCTACAGGAATTCCAAAAAAGGCGGAAACTTCAGGTAAAATTATAATATACGAACAATTATCAAAATTAAAACATTTTTATATAAAGCGACTTCGTTTTACTGAAAATTCAGAGTTTGTTTATTGTATGTCGATTCAAAATCGAATGCTAAAGGAAGAAATCTAGAACCATGTATGTTATGTTTTGATTTTTATTTAGTTTTGAGTGAAATAAAAATGTAAGTTAATATTTGCCAATTTAAATAAAAATTATAACAATTTTTGTGACAAAAAATCTATTAGTATTATTTATAAAACTTTTCGAGTAACAAATATTTCTCTGCACAAAGTTTTCATTTTGACGACGGCATTGAGAGTAAATGAAACTGCATTTTTTCTATTGTTAACGACATAGAATAATATTTTCTCTAGAAAATTAAATTGAAACTAAATGACGTTTGTTCAACTATAAACCTAATTAAAATAAAAACTTAAAAACTAAATTAAAAGAAAAAAACTTGTGAATAAAAAGAGGTTTACCTTGTGGCTGTTGTGTGGCTATGACTTGTGTGTGATTGGTTGTGGTGGTTGTAGTTGATGACGATTTGCAAAAATTTCAAACAAGACAACAATTTTTGCTTAACTTTGACATTAACTCACTTTAAAAATTTTTAAAACACTTTTTGTATTGAATTTGAATTAGGTGATAAAAATATAGCAACCAAATCAAATTTTATATATTAAGATTTTTGTTTCACTTGTTGTGCCGTCGCTCTAGACAAAATCGGTGTGGATTTTCGTTTAGCGCCGGTTTTTAATGTTTTATGGGGGTTTGACACTTTTGTCCGTTTCTATTGCATTAAAATTTTTTATTGATTTTTGCTTTGTGGTTTTATGGCTTTTATGAGCTAAATGTTATTTCGTTTGTTTGGGTTGTGGTTGAATGTGGGTGGTATTACTGAAGTTGTTGTCAAAAACACAAACACACGCGTTTAAAAAGTCGTAAAATTATTCTCGGTGTTTTTTGTTATTTGAAAAGTAATAAAATCTTCAAACTATCACTTTTCCGCCGCTTAAGGTTAGACACGTACGATTTTTTACGATGTTTTAAAAGACATTTAAATATTTTTATAACATTCTCTTTTCTTGGCTGTGTATGCAAAATTATTTCAATATTTTTTGATTCTTCTTCTTTTCAATTAATTTCACTTAAATTTGCCGTTGTTGCTTTTTATTTGTGTTTTATATAAAATTTTTATTATTGTTATTACTATTTATACACAACAAACACATCTGTGCTGGACAATTTTTTTATTTTTCGGGGGGCTTGATTATTTGCTTGCACTATAAAGCGGCATTGAAAGAAGGAAATTATGATTTCTTCTCTTCTCGATTTTTATTATTTTTATTTTTTTAATAGCCCAAGCATTGGCAATTGTTGTGTGTTGTGTTGATTTGATGACTTTGACTATATTACTAACAAAATGTATAAAATGATTTGGATGGTTATAGCGGACGACAACGGCAGCGCGTTACCATTGAGCATAGAGTAGAGTATGTCGTCGACGGAGCGGGCAGAGCCAGAAACTATGGATGCTGCTGTTGGTGCTGCATTTACTCAATGGTGGTGTCTGGTGCGATGTGGAATGGTGTGTGGCGACGTTTTGGTTATGGTGTTTTGGTCTCAAATCTTGATGGCACGGTGGCGGCGACGGCGGAAACATAGACTATGAGAATGGTGGTGGTGGTGTTGGCGATTGCGGTATTGTAATCAAGTGCTGCAACACTTAAAAGAACAATAAGACAATGATTTTTCCGTTTTGTTGGAGAAATTTTGAAATTTTACAATGTCTCCGTTGCACTTAGTTGTTATTTTACAGTTAAGAAGCTATTTTTTCCTTTAGAAATCAACATTTGCATGGACTCTTGCAGTTTTAGTTTTCGATTTATAGTTTGTCAAGTTTTACTATTTAATACACACAAATAAATTTTCTATTTCTAGCAGATCTCACAATGTTTTATCGTT